CTATTATTATTATTATTACTATTATTATTACTATTACTATTATTATTGTTGTTGTTAATAATTTATACAATTAACTTCCCTGTGGTTCGATCGTGGTCTTGCCAGATTATTTATTAGTTTGACACTTATGCACTTGAGAGAAGACATCAATCTTTTGATCATATCAACATTGCTATGACTAATCCTAAGTGGTAGGAAGCTATGAATTCTGAGCTTCACTCTCTGATTGATAATTAAACATGGAGTCTCATTTCTTTGCCTCCGGGTAAATGCCCGATCAGTTGTAAATGGGTGTATCGTATCAAGCGCAAGGTTGACGGGTCTATTGAGTGCTATAAAGCTCATCTTGTTGCTCGAGGTTTCATATGGATTGCTGGAATTGATTATCATGATATCTTTTCCCCTACTGTAAAAATGGTCACCGTCTGCTGCCTCCTTGTTGTTGTTACCAGCCTGAACTGGCCTTTACATCAATTAGACGTCAATAATGCTTTCTTAAATTGTGATTTATTAGAAGAAATATATATATCTCCTCATCCTAGTTTTCGATGACAGGGAGAGAACATTGTGTATCGCCTTCACAAGTTGTATGGCCTTAAACAAGCCTCTCGATAATGGTTTTCTAAGTTCACAGAAGATGTTGTTACTGCTGGGTTTTTATAATCAAAAGCCAACTACTCCTTGTTTATAAAAAAAGATGGAACATCTCTTACTATCCTACTGATTTATGTGGATGACATTTTGATAACTGGAAACAATATTAAATACATCAAATGTTTAAAACAGTTCCTTCATACTCATTTCTGCATCAAAAACCTTAGTGATCTGAAATTCTTCCTAGGCATTGAAATAGCTCGTTCCAAGAAAGGCATTTACATTTTCTAGTGCAAATATGCTTTGGAAATTATCAAAAGCAGTGGATACATGGGTGCTAAGCCGGTTGAATTTCCTATGGAAGAATGCAGACTTTCAAATATAAGAGAATTGCTCAAAGATCCTTGTGTATACCAACATCTAGTTGGTCGATTGATTTACTCAACCATCACTAGACCTGATATCATATATTCAGTTCACATTCTCAACCTATTCATGCATGAACCACATCAACCTCATATGGTTGCTACTCTTTGAGTTGTTTGCTATTTAAAATCAGCTCCTTATCAATGTTTGCTTCTTCATTCAAATAACACATCAGACTTAAGGGCATTTTGTGACTTTTATAGGGCGGGTTGTCCTGTCACTCACCGTTTCACTATTGGGTATTGTGTAGTCCTTAAAAATTCCTTAATTTTATAGAGAACAAAAAGACAAAAGATAATTTCTTTATCAAGTGCGAAAGCTGAATACAGAGTAATGGCAGGTACATGTGGTGAGCTTACTAGGTTAAGACATTTATTAACAGATTTGCATATGCCAGTTTTAGATCTTGTTACTTTTTATTATGATAATCAAGTCATATTACACAATGCAAAAAATCTTGTGTTTCATAAGATAACTCAGCATATTGAAATGGATTGCCATTTTATTTGGGACAAAATTTTATGAGGTGAACTTGTTACTCGATATGTGATTTCTTCACAACAATTAGCAGATGTGTTTACAAAAGCTTTGGGAAAAGAAAAGTTCAAGCAGCTCATATACAAGTTGGGAGTTATTGATATTCACTCTCCAACTAGAGGGGGAGTGTTGGAAATTATATTGACAGTGTTTTGATATAAATAGGAAAGCTATATCTTAAGATAATTAGGAAAGATATGTTTGAATATTTTGTATTTATCTGTATTCAATTAGTTGTCATTTCTTATCAATCTTTGATTTATAAGTGACCCCTAATGTATCCTGTATATATATTGAACATAATAAATACAACTACATATTCCACTTGAATAGCTTTTTCTTATAACAGGAGAGATACAAGAACAATCCTTTAACCTATCTAGAACTTGATTTGGATTTGTAGTTGGAAGCATAATCGTTTGGCAAACTTTAAAGAAATTGGATTTACGGTATCTCAAACACTACGATTGAAGAGTTGCAGATGACCTATAATGTTTCAACCATTAGATGTTCGCAATCAATTTTCATCACTCAATCTTCAAAGTTCCAAGCAATTTTAAACTAATAAGTTAAAGCTTGGATGACCTATATTATTGTTGAAATAGAATGACTTAGTGTTGAAATGAATGGACTCTGGTGATTGTACATAGAGCTAAAATCAAATATGAATGATACATGTTATTAACCTTATCTCATCTCCCCTTCGGTCTTAATGAAGACCTACCTACTCTTCCTCCTTCAACCACTCTCTTTTAGATGAATTGCATTTAAATTGATAAATTTTTAAATTTATAATAAAGTTTTAATTTTTTATTTTATTTTATTTTATACTTTTTTTATACATGTTTTTAACAACTAAAAAAATTATTGATGAACTTTCTTCGATAATATAAAAATAAATTACTAATTTGATTACAAACAGTCTTTTTTATTGGTGTTGTGCCATCTTTACAGATAAAAATACCAACAAATTGATGCCAATAAATGTTTTTTTGTTTGGCATATTTTTTTGTCTATAAATCTACTTATGATAATTTTACTAACAAGATAATCAATATAATAAAATCATCAACAATAAAAAAAGATTTACAAATAGTAACTGTTTGTGATCTTGTTGGTAAAATTATTCTAGGGAATCAGTATCTAAACACCAACAGAATAGTCTGTCGGTAAAGTGCAACATTTTAGTTGTGATTTTGGTATGTATGCTAGAAAATATTTTTTTAATTTTTTTTGTATGATTTAAATATTTATCTAGAATGTATGCTAGTATTTTAGTTATGATTATAAGTTTACCATGCTCTAGAAGTTTATTTCCATACTTGGTAAGAGATATTGTGCCGGTTCATTTGATTTGAGATATAATTGACCTTTGTGTAAAATAAACACGGAACTCAAGCCTGAAAATAATTTAGTATGGAGGAGGAAATAAAAAATTGAAAATCAGATAGGCTGAGAAAGAAAGAGAGTAATATCCAAGATGCATAAATTAGATCAAAGAAAATAATTATTTTACAGATGGAGAGAAATTTTGGGATAGTCCCAAATATGTAACATATATATGGTTTTGCTACTTCAGATAAACTTGTTCATCCATAAGAGAATCTTGAAAAGCAAGTAAATACATTGCAGCAGCTCCCATCTTCTTTGGAAACAGCATGGACCTGCAGGTTGGGCAGGTGACATGAGCTTGATCCACCCAACTATCTAGGCATTTTAGATGAAACACATGAGAGCAGTTGCATGGTTCTCTGACTTCATCTCTTCCTTCTATACAGTCCAGGCAGACAGGACATATTCTCTCTTGATCATCTTCAAGTTTCCCTGATCTTTCAAGTAAACTGCTGTACGCTATCACTTTAAGTTTCTTCTTGATCAGTCTTGCAAGAGTGGAAACTGGGACTGAAATTGGTGATGGACAAAGTTCATCCATTAAAAGAACATAACCCTCTGTGGTATCTTGATCTTGACCGGAATTGTAAAGCAGTTGAGGTGGCTTGAACATACGTAGAATGGTTAGAGTCAATAGAAACACCAACTTGATGAAAGTGAGAAGCTCTACCAGGAATTTGAAACAAAAACATTTTGGCATCTGCACTGCAACAAGGCTGGGAATCCCCATTTTTGTGACTGTATGTGCGCGTGCGTGTATGTGAAGGAGGGAGGGAGGTAGAGGGAGATATGAAGTTGAAGAAATGGTGGAAGCCACTAGTTATGGTAGGGTTGATAATGAAAGGCAACTTAACCTAAGAAACAACATTCAAGTAGAACATTAGTGGGTGTCCTACACAAAGAAGTTAGGAGAGCGACAACTGCATGTGTGGATTTGCTAATTATCATGTCAATATTGACAAGTTTTGAACAATTTTTATACATTAATATTAAATCTTTTTTCGAGGTCATCACATTTCATGAAGGAATTAATAAGAAATTGTTTATGTTCTTAATTGAAGTCTCTCTCTCTCTCTCTCTCTAAAATTTAGCACAAATTTTGAACGCCAATATCACTTTCAAATTGACGTATGATGCCACATAAATCAAATAACAAAAAGCGATGTTGGTTGAGTGATAATATGATACACCATGTTGGAGTTGACATGAGTGATAAAACAACATTTTCAATTGGAGAGTGAAAGAGAAGTATTGAAGGCCATATGGAATTTATTTAATGGTTTATTGTTAGCCACACAATGTAGAAATTTCAAACACATTGAGTTTCCCCGTAAAAGATTGAAGAATATATGTGTTTTTCATTGTATAATTTTTGGGTTGTAATTTGAAAAAATAAGTTTTAGAAAATTATAAATTATAGTTTTTTTTAACTAAGATTTTTTATAAAAAAATGATTGTAATATATTAATAAAATACTTTTAAAATTGTAATTAAAATAAAATACTAGAGTTTGGATGTAAAAAATATTAATTTGAAGAAAAAATTTTAAATTTTGATAAAAAACAACTTCAGCTTTAATGCTAAACGAACACTATATCTTCATCTTTATCTTTTTAAATAAATATGTTTATGTTTTCATTCTTTCTATTTCTTTTTATGTCCTAATAAGCTATCTAAAAGCATCTCCCTAGGTACATGTTATTTTCAATCAACATTAACTACACACCTTTGCGTGGAAAAATTAGTATTCCTTCACAAAAAGTAGCTTCTTTTGTAATTCCTTGTTAACTTTCATAATGTTTTTTTAATTTTACCTTAAAATTATTAAATTAAAGATAAATTTGAGTTAATTTATTAATAAAGAGTGACATTAAATAAAGGATCAGAATGAAAAACATGAAAGGAATAAGTAGTTTTAATAAAGTTTGTGTGAAATGTAAATTTTAATCCTTAAACTTTTCTAATTATAAATATATAGTCCCTTTAATTTTAAAAAAATTAAGAATAAAGTCAATTTTGATCCCATTTTTTTTTTGTTTCCAGTTTGAGAGAGAAAAGAAAAAATAGTTAGATTCTAGCAGGAAATAGAGAAAGTCATTGTTTGCTATTAACGTCATGAAAAGGGATTATTTTGATATTAATAAGTTTTTTAGGTAAAAAGAGTTTATCTTAGGTGTTTTTTCTCTTGAAATTGCCTTGTATGGTTTTGAAGTATTTAAGGTTTTTTTGGTTATTTAAATTGAAATATGGTTGAAAATAATATTTTTTTTAGTATGAAACATCATAACCTAATTTTTCAACAATTAGAAATCATCAAAATTTAGACAAGTTGATTTTAATAAAAAAGATATTAAGGGATGGATGATAGGTTGTCCGTCTCTTAAGTGAATTAAAAATTAATAATAAGACCTGGTCACGTGAGTTGTGGGCTGCTCTAGACTTGCATATCCGAGTCTTTTTTTTTAGGCCCTTGTTCTCTAGGCTAACTCATATTTTACCCATCAAAATTCAATTTTTTTTTATATATTTTTTTCTTGCTTAATTTTTTTTTCACTTTCATAGCTTAATGTTTTGTTAATTATTAATTAAGTAATGTAATTTATTTTGGTTTGGTATTTATATCTAGCTACCTCAATATTTAGTTAGTTATCAATTTTATAAGTGTCTAGTTTAAATAAAAAAATTATTGAAAAAAATCTTTTTTAGTTCAAATAAGTTTATGATATTCAGCACGAATGTGACTGATTAACTGATTAAAAATTAAATTTTGTAATATTTTTGTATGAATAATTATCAGTTTATTTGATTAAATATATGTGAACTTTTTAATTTTTAATTAATATTTTTTATATTTAAAAAATGTTATTGTATTGAAAAAAAAAAAAAAAGGAACCTGCAAAGCAGAAGTTACATGACACTACACATTGTTGCTGCAATTATTATGATGGGCGTTTTTTCAATCTATGAAAAGCCTAAAAGCCAGTTCTGAAAGCTCGAGGATTGTCTCAGGCCGGATTCGAGTCTAAATCACATTGGTTTAGAGGCCTTCGGCATTTGTATACAATTTTTGGACTCAATGGAGATCAGGCTAGTTAGAGAAAAACCAGAAGTTGCAGACAGGAAACAAGAAGCTCAGCCCAAACAGAAATTGAAGATAGAAAGAAGGACATGACAAGTTTATCCACAACATTTGTTCTTTCAACCCTGCTCTCCTTCATCACTCATTCTCTCTTCAACAATGGCTTCTTCTTCTCTCTCAACCCATTATCACTTCATTTCTCCTCTTTCTCCTTCTTCAAAGAACAATGCTAACATCAAGCTTTCCTCTTCTCTTTTTGCTTCTCCCATTAGCTTATCTTCAAACCCCAATATTTCTCTTCAATTCTTTGACAAGAAACACTCCCCACTTCTTTCAACAGCTCCAAGAAGGCTCTCGGTTATTGCAATGGCCCCTCCAAAGCCTGGTGGAAAGGCCAAGAAAGGTAAAAACAATTTCCCTTTTATGTTTCTATTTGTGAAGTTTCAATTTTTGGGTTGTTTTGTGATGATCTTTTTTGTGGGGTTGCAGTGATTGGATTGATAAAGTTGGCTTTAGAGGCAGGGAAGGCAACTCCTGCACCACCTGTAGGACCGGCACTTGGTTCAAAGGGTGTAAATATTATGGCTTTTTGTAAGGATTATAATGCCAGAACTGCAGATAAAGCTGGTTATGTCATTCCTGTTGAGATTACTGTTTATGATGTGAGAACTAAAAAAAAATTGTTAATTTTTTATGGGGGTTGAGATTTTGATGGTTTTATGGTTTTCCTTGTTTTGATTTTTGCTATGGTGTTATTTTTCAGGATAAAAGCTTTACTTTTATTTTGAAGACACCTCCTGCTTCAGTTTTATTGATTAAAGCTGCAGGTATACTTGCATATGATTCTATGGACCAATTGATGTTTCAAGGGTGTTGTGCATAATGCAGAGATAGAATCTAGAATACTATAATTGTGTGCTAACATATGAATGATTAACTGTAATGATTGAATTCCCAACAATGTCTTTACAAGTTTTATATGGTGAGAGTCATTTATGATACTTTTAAAACAAATTATATAATGTGAATAGTAGAATGGACAAGTTGTATGCAGATAGTTAAATGATCAAACCATTGAAAGGCTCCTCAAAGAGAAACAGGTATGGGTGTAGCATGCACTCATAAGGCTGTAATAACTCTGTGAGAGTTGGTGGTAGCCTTGTGCAGAAAATACACCTGCTAATATTCTCATTATAAGCTTCTTGGTTTTTAGGTTAAGAGTTTGTGATGTTGTGACTCATGCTTTGCGCATTTAAGTGAAGTCATTCATATTTGACAGAGTTGTGTTTCTCTTTGATTACTTAATACCAAAAGGATTTCCAGACTTCCAGTATTGATACTTGTGAAATTTGATGAATGTGGGTTTGGGAGTCTAGAGCAAGAAAAAGTTTGTCATTTTGCAGTGCAAGAGTGCTTAACTCATTATGAAGTTTTTTCAAATATCAGGAACATGAATTCTTCCCTTGTTTTGGACTCCTCTTGTTATGCTGTATTAGGTATTTGATGGTGGGATTGTATATTTGGCCAAATTGCCTGACTATAGTTTGGAAGCTATTGTAGAGAACACTCATATAACAATCAGAGCTTAAGTGAGCTGTGGAAGGGAAATCCTAAAATTGTTACCTCAAAACACTCCATGTTTTCCCCCTTTTGGTGATTAGTAATGCATGATTCTCAATGTTTCTAACAATTTAGATTAGATAATTGAAATTTCACTTTACCATTCATCCTGATCTGCTCCATAGCAATTCTTTTTCATCCTTAACCCGTGTAACTTTTATTGAACCACTGCTGATGCCAGAGTTTCCTTGTTGTGCTTCAATGTTTATCATTAGGTGTTCACTCAGAAGAATTTAACTGAAACTCTTCTTGGGTGCAACCAGTCTTGTTGAAGTTTAACCAAAATTTGTGTTTCTTGGTATTATGAAGCCACTTCTTCTTCTTTTTTTCTGACTCGAGAAACAAATGCTTGACTCTGAAAATGGAAACATCTGTAAATAAGCCTAGTTGATGCACTAAATATTTTAGTGTTTCTTTTTTCTTTTTCCTTTTTCCTGGTCAGAATAGAATTCTGACTACTAATTCTTTTTGTTTTTCTGGCCTATATAAACAATTTGACTCCCTATTTAGAATAGAATTCTGACCACTAATCCTTCTTTTTTTTTTTTTGGCCTATATAAACAATTTGACTCCCTATTAGGCTTTAATAATTTAGACTTGTGTTGCCATATATCTGACTAGCATCATGTCAGGAAATATGTAGGTTTCATGCGTAGGACTTCAACATAGTTATTGAATTTATTAAGAATATCATATTTTGAAAGAACAAGAAATTATATATTGACTACTTCCTTCAAATAGGTGTTACTTAAAGTGAGTATAGGGTATTTTCATTTAATTCATGGACAAATTTGTTATTGTAGAGTACTAGTTTTGCAAGATGATTGTGGATGTTATACCAACTGCTATTATATTTTCATTGTTGTAATATAGATGTTTAATTATAGTGAGTGTTCTTAATTAGGAGTGGAGAAAGGTTCTAAAGATCCAAAGATGGAGAAAGTGGGTAAGGTAACGATTGACCAATTACGCACCATAGCTACTGAAAAGCTTCCAGACTTGAATTGCACAACCATTGAATCAGCAATGAGAATCATAGCAGGCACTGCAGCTAACATGGGGATCGATGTAGATCCTCCCATTCTTGAACCTAAAAAGAAAGTTGTCTTGTAGTTCACTTAGTTACTTTTGCCTTGATTTTGTTATATCTGTATTCATAATCATTTGTAGAAGCAATTCATGGAAAGATCTGTATTCATGTTCTGTATCCTTAATCCTGGTCTTTTTGGCTATAAATTTTACGATCTGGTGGATGGCTAGAGAGCTTCAATCGAAAATCTAAGCATGTCTGAAGTTCGTATTTCGAAGGTGATGATCGGTCTGTTTCATACTGCTGGAATCGGTTTTAGCATGCTCGTTTTGTGTTACATGAGGTTTGTTTCATGTTCAATCATCCCCGTTTGATGGATGATAACCATGTTCGAAAAGATTTGTTGCAAGTTCTAATGGAGTGAAGAAAGCCAAGAATTGATGAAGACTGGAAAAGGAAGCAGACTTTTCCTGGATGGTTGTGTGCTGTTGATTTTGTCCACCATGTTATGATTTATGAAGTCAAATGCTAGTTGATGAACACCCTAAAATACGATTACCATATAGAAATTATTAGATACTGTAAAATAACTTCAGGGAAAAAAAAGTTCTCATTGTTTTTTCATGCACTGAGACTTAATTAACCTTAAAAAACAAAATGCTCTTATCGTTTTTATAAGACTTGATTTAGTGTACGTTTAGAAATGTAGACTAACTTTTGTATTTTTTAAAAAAATTAATTTTTTATTAAAAATTAATTCTTTTATATATTTTAAATTGTTGTAATATACTGATTTAAAAAATAATATTTTAAAAAATAAAAAAAAATATTTAAATATAATTTTAAGATAAAAATTATTTTTTAAAAAAAGTTAAAATTTATTTAGTTAAAGACTTTGTTACTGGTCACATGTTGAATAGTAGGTTAATTTGCGGGCAAGCTACTCAATCTAAACCTTGACTTATAAAAAAAAGAATCCAAAGAATGTCACTTCGGTAAAAAGTATTTCCCAATTCAAGGTCCTGTCATTGTCTGTTTTTCAATCAAGGTCTGGTCATTTCCTGTTTTTCAAAGTTATTTTTTATTTTTTTATTTAAAAATAATTAAATTAATATTTAATTTGTTTTATCAGTTTTTAAATAATTTTGAAGTAATAATAAAAATAAAAATAAAAAACACTATACACCAAGAGTTAAACCTAACCAAATAATACATGGTTTTTTCTTTCTTCTTTCCAATTTTTTTAATTTTCAATTAATTATGTTTTGACTGTCGGCTGAAATGAAATTTGTTGGAGTCTTGTTTTGTGGTTCAAATTTTCTGGACCACAAAAACACTTAAAAGTAGAACTTTCACTTATTATTCATAAACAATTATTGGTGAAAAACATGTAGTTCAAATGATTTAATTTGGTGTCATATCAAATTATAATTTAATTTAATATATATATTTGGTGAAATTTGTGTATTATTCCATATCATAATTATCATTTACAAAAACAATATATCTCACAGCTAAGTATTTTGGGTAATTTAACTATTTTTTGTTGGCTCTTGGAACGCCTCCAAGGTTATATACTATTTTGAAAAATTAAATTAATAAAATATTATTTTAAATAATATAAATATAAATTTTTTTACTATATATTTTTCAAAAAAAAAATTAATTTTTTTTATTATAATGAAATAAATAAGTATTTTATTTTTTTAATAATTTTAATGTTATTTTTTTAGCTAAATTTATTTTATGTTTTCTTTAATAATTTTGGTGCTATTTTTTTCACACGACTGTATTTAATTAGTTTATTTTTTTATAAACAAAAAAATATTTTAATATTTTTTTAAAGCATATAAAAATTAAAATGATATTTTTTTATTTTTTATTTTTTATTTAGCATACCCCTGGAATTGCTCTTACGCTAGTTGGATATGGGATTTTCAAAACTGCCACCTAATAGCTAGGTATTTAATTACGAAAAATATTAAAAGATTTGAAGTGGAATTACCTGTCTATATAAACCTTCTTAATTGAATCCAAAACATTCCAAATAACAACGTGAATTACAAAAACCTAATTGTGCCGGTTAATTACTATTCATGAGGTTCTTGAAGTATCCCAAAGCATCTAGATTGTTGTTGCTCAATTTTACATTAAAATATTAATTATATTGCTTGAAAAAAATTGAAATACAGCATCCCAATTTAACATTATTTTTAAGTTGATAGATTGATTTATTAAAACTATAAAGATGTTTGTTATATATTTTTACTTGAAAATAGCTTGAAAATGTTTTATGAATTCATAAAAATTTTTTTAATCACCTCTCTAGTGGTTTGAAAAGTTTAGGTTAAAAAATATATTTTTTTATAATTTAATTTGTTGTGTTGAGTACAAATATCTATTTTTATAATTTTTTATGAAAAAATAAGAATATTAAACTCAGTAAGGCTATGATCATCAATTTGATGATGAAAAAGCAAAATGCATATTCGTGGCTTATTCTAGTAAATAAAAAAAATAAAAAATGAAGGGTTATGAATGATGTGATCCCATGACCAACCGCTGCTATGCATCATGGAACCTTGTCTTCGATGAAGCACCATTGTGGTGGTCACCACAAGAAGACTGTTTTCCAAAGAAATAGAGAAGTTGCTGGAAAGCGGGACGGCTGAAATACAGGCAAGCTCATGTATGTTTTCCCAAATAAATAAATACGTTTTTTTTAAAAAATACTTTCCACTAAATAAATAAAATCTTAATGTTTTTTAAAATTCTCCTTTTGTCAATTCTTTTTTTTCTTAATTTTATAATTAAATATTATATTAGTTGATAATAAACTTTATAATTTTCTTTAATTTATTTTATATAAAATTATTTTAGTCTCTTTTTTTCTTTTTATTTTAATTTTTAATATTAGATAATTGAGTTTTATGATTATTATTTATTTAATTTTTATAAAGTTATATTAATTCCATAATTCTTGAGGCATACGTTTAAAATATTAACCTAGTTTGATTCTTATTATTTTTTATTTTTTTAATTAATTTTTTAAAAAATTTTATCATTTAATATTAGATTGATTTAAAATTAAATTTTATAATTTATTTTAATTTTTTATAAAATTAAATTATAAATTTAATAAATTAACTCATATGAATAATCTAATATATTGTAGTTTTATTTTATATACATATACAAACATACATACATACATATATATATATATATATATATATATTATAAAAAGAAGTATTGTCCAAAACAATAATTAATTTTTCTTTTACCGAGAACACATTGTCAGTACATGAAAAAACAATGTGCAAATCCTATCCAAACACCTATCTGTCTACATAATCATAACCAATTAATCATCGTCACCCCTGACATGTAAAATGCCCTCTCATTTATACCAAAAATCAAATTCCAGTGATTAAAAATATTTGCTTTGTTTTTGACATATTTTTATTCAAGTATTTAAGTCTTAAAACAAATATTTCTTTAAATATATCATACCAATATAGTAATATATTTTTAAAATTATTTGAAAAAAATATAGACTTGGTGTAATACCAAACAATTATACCAAAACCAAATTCAAAAGTTCGTGTAATTGTGAGGAAGGAAGTAAAAGGGAACAATCCTTAATTGAAAATTAATAACTAACAAACAAAACAGAAATCCATTATTAAGTTATGGGATCAGCATTTTCAAAGGACCCAAAGAACAATCCACCATGGAAAAGGAAAGATTAGTCATGCATAGGGATGATGTTGTCTTTTCCTATCTATAAAAATACTAAAAATCATTACACAACATGACAAGACAAACACAAGCATTAAAAAAAGAAAAAGAAAAATTAAAAGAGAAAAAAAAAAAAAACACAGAGTACTTTTTGGGGTGTCATGCCC